ACAGAGCTCCTCAAGACACTTGCACACAAATATCTAGAGTATCTCTTAGGATGCTTAATCTTAATGCTTTTCCCGAGAAGAACCAAATGGTGAAAACTGGTGAACTAATACTTCAATAAATTGGTGAACTAATACTTCAATAAAATGAATAACCAAGCAATTAAGTTAATTACAACGAAGATGGATTCAACTACTACCAGAATTCACATACCATACTGTGAAAACTGGCTAAACACTTAAGAGAAATCTAAAATCACACGCACGCGTAGGAGCGTGCTAAAAAAGAAGCTGGGAATGTACCACTATCGCCTATCAAGAGAAGCTTGATGAGATAATCGTAATCTGCTCGAGCTCTAGCGGGCGCCGCAGCCATTTGATTCCTCAAAAATCCCAGTGATCCAGGGAATAATAGCAAGGAGAGAAATTCACCCTAAGAAAAAGGTGTCGAAGAAAAACCAAAAAGACAATTTTAAAAAGGAATAACTCCGATTCGACTTTGAACAAATCTAAAGGGTTAACTTGAAGTTATACTAATCATCGATTGCATGAAGGGGAAATTCTGTGTAACCCTACCGGATCGGTGAAGAACGGGTTAGAAGCGCTGTCGAGGGAATATACTTGTGCCAGCAGATCTGAGTATCTGACGGATGATGAAATAAAATACTCTGTAATCCGTAAAACGGTAAAAGCAAATAAAGTGAACCGTCACATCGAACTGGATTAGTAGTCACGGGGTCTAGGGTCAATCGGTTGAATCGGGTTAACTCGAGTAAACGACCCGGTCAATGACACATGACTTGGTATATAATATTCATATTTATGTATAGATAATAAAAAATTAAATAATATCATATTTTGTGGACTGTTTTTAAAGATAATAATATATTATCACATAACTTAAATATGTCTATTATTTCTAAATAATACAAAGCACATACTCCCTCCGTCTAACCTTAATCTTTCCATTTAAACCGGACACACATATTAAGGAAAGATGTAAATGTCATTCTCAATGTTAAATAAAATATTTAAAATTGTGTTTTTTCTTCTCTATGTTATTTTCAATGTCATTGTTCATGTACTCTTTCACACTTTCCATATTTTATCATAATTAGTATATATTTCTTCATTTTATAGATGATCAATTTGTTTAGATATAAATTTTTCATTATTATTTTATACAAAAAATAATAAATATTTTTTACTTTGAAATATTTTAAAAGATTATAAAATAATTACACAACAAAAACATGTTCTTTCTTACAAATAGTTAGAAGATTTTAATTCACTCAACACAAATAAAAAACACTATATATACTATTCTGTATGACTTTGGTAACAAGTGTTTAGTAGCTTAAGTGGTTATAATCTTAGAGACTTCTATAGTGAGGTTTAATATTCGAATCCTTCCATCATTTTATTTTATAGACAAAAAAATAAAAAAAATTGGACCAAACCCGCGAGTCGTCCGGGTCTACTGGGTTTGGGCGGGTCGATGCAAATCTGGGTTTTACAATTGAACCGGACAAGAATGCTCACCGGTTTATGGTCCAACCGGTTGAACCGGCCGGTCCAGTCCGATTCTAATAACCTGCATTGGTTAGGGGTGGACACGATATGGTTCTGGTTCGGTTCCAGTTCTGGAACTGTCAGTTTCGGAACTGTCACCCCATGAAACCATTATCGGCACTGGTGTAGACGGTGCCGGTGACGGTTCTCTCATTGGCGATTCTAGCACCGTACCGGGTTGGTTTTTTCTGTCTTCAATCTTTTTAATATTTTTAGTGATAATTTATAAATGTGTAAGTGCAAAAGCAAAATAAATTTATAACTTTTTATAAATTTGAATATCTAAAAATATATTTGTTTTCTAAATAATGAAAAATGAATAATGCAAAAAACAACTAGATTTAACATCCTGACGATTCAAAAAAAGCGGCGAGGTAAAAATTCATAAAAAAACCCTCGAAGAAGCTTTTATATTGCTCACCTAAAAAAATATTTACAATTTTTTAAAAAATATAAATATCGTACCCTAACTCTTGAGCTCGACGTCTTGCCAAAAGTCAATCTCAGTCGCAAACAAGTGTCTCAAGCGATTCAGCGCTAAGACAAGTTCGGTAGCCGGTTAGAATGTTGTCGCTTGAATTGGATTCTTGTTCCACAGCTACGATTGAAAATGGCATGGATAAGACATGTCTGGCTAGCATTTCGGGAGACGGGAACATGTGTTCATTCCGCTTCCACCATTTAAGGACATCAAATGCCCTGTAGTTGTCTTCGTCGTAATTGAGTGACACCCCTTGGTACATAGCAAGTTTGTTGTGCGAATTTATACGTGTACCACCTGAACTCAGTGAGGCAAAACTATGCTTATCTTTTTTTCAAGAGGCCACTGACAATCGCTTTAAAACCTTTTTTTTGCCTTGGGATCGGAGGTGGAGGTGGTGTCGTTTCTTCCAGTGCATTACCGTAAAAAGCTTGAAACTCTTAAGATAATGACTCAAAAAGATCAATAGCATTATCTCTCTCTTTTGTCCATTCTATTAAATGATCAACTATTTTCATATAAAAACAACTATAGTAATATTCCATCAGAATTTTAGAATTATCAATTTTAAAGCGAAGATCACAAATAATACTAGCTTTATAAATATAAGGAATATACAAATAATAAGCACACCATTTATCTTTCATAGAAAACGAATTAATGAGAATTAGCCCAACAATTATGGCGGCGAAGAACGAATTATAACACAATAATTGATAAATCTCACAATATTTCTATTACTAAATGTGTTTTGGTGTTTTTCACTTGCCTTGCAATGGAGGATTCTCCCTCTATTTATATTACTTACAATCACATACATAATGGGCACTCATCGTGCACATAAATCTTGTCGTTATCTCTTGCACATCGATCATGGTGGTTCACCATATTCCCTTTGATGTCTCCACGTCCTTGGGCTGTTCAGAACCTTCGCTTTACGTTCGGGCCAATTCACGAGAATCTAGGCCTTTTATCGTATCGGCCCAAGTTGCTCCTGCGGATTGGGCCGTTCATTCGCCTTCTCTAGGCCCGGATATCCATCACAAGCCCCTAGTTTCCTAGCGACACATCGCTAAGTAACTATAGTTGTGCCGCCTTGGTCTGAGCACTGGTTAGGAAACGATTGCGTTTTCCACCCTCTGCTCTAAGTCGTGTCATTTTTATTCCCACTCCAACTCGCTACGTATTTTAGGCATCCGTACTATTCTTGATTCGTCCCCAAATTCTTTGCAAATTCTTCAATTTCTCACGAAGGTCTCCCACATCATGGCTTAATCTGCAGAAATTGCTCACCTCGAACTCGCCCCTTCCAAGATCAAGAGCTCTGAACTCCCTCTCATGCGTGATCTCTTGGTGGGATTTTGTTTACCCACAATACGGTACCAGAATGTTTTTTGGTGTTGCACTACGATTCGGTTCTTCACGGATTCAGGCTTCCTCTTCACTACTTTATCTGCGAAGTGTGTAGAAATTGGAATCTTCTCCCTAGGCAATTTACAACCAATGCACACAAGTACATGGCATCTTACATCCCGCGTTGCTGCGAGAAGCGTAAGACTCCTTTTATGAGGGATTTCATGCACTTCTTCAGACTCGGGGGCGATTCCCTTTTTTCATCCTTTACCCCAACCAGAAATACGTCATCTTCACCAAAGTGGAGCTGCATATTAAAGGTTGGGAGGATAAGTTCTTTGTGATTGAAGCTCCTGCGGATCTACAGCCCCGCAAGACCAAGCTTTCCCGGACTCCCTTCTCTAAGGGTTCCCAGGCTGAGAAAGCCTTTCAAGAGATGAAAGATACCGGCCTCATCAATCATGAGCTCCTCAAGAATCCTAAATTGTTTAGACAAGCTAGATTCTACTTCTTAGGCAACCATTCCCTTATCTCACCTGATTCTCCCCAAATCATTTCCCCTGACTCTAGTGCCAGCGGCTCTCAGGATCTTACTTCTCCTTAGCGGAATGAACCCTCATTCTCTGACGCTGAAAATCCCACGGTCAAGCCTGTTAATGCTCTTGATGATTCCAAATCCATCAACACTTTCTCATGCAAATTCTTCAATTTCTCACAAATGCCTCCCACATCATGGCTCAATCTGCAGAAAGTGCTCACCTCGAACTCGCCCCTTTCAAGATCAAGAGCTCTGAACTCGCTCTCATGCGCGATCTCTTGGTGGGATTTTGTATACCCACAATCCGATGCCAGGACGTTTTCTGGTGTTTCACTACGATGATGGATGAAAAGAATATCACACACGCCTTCGAATAAACAGATTCCATTTAAATTCCAGAGGAAACAATATCTTATTATGACAACCTACGCAATGAGAATTAACAAAAATCAGGTCTAATCATTGAAGCACGTCACATTATCACTCAAGGAACTAGTTATTAGTCATTACCAAGTACCAACTATATGTTGCTCTTTCTCGAGCGATGTAACCAATCGAAGTGGGTTGAAGGTTTTAGTTTGCAATGATGAAATAGAAACTTCAAATACCACAACAAATGTTTTATACAAAAAAGTTTTCCAGAATCTTTATTCTCTTGAGCATTGTAGTTTTTTCACAATTGTCTTCAACATTGCAAGGTAATACTTTAAATCTGTACACAAGAATCAATGAAATCCTTTTCTATGTGTCTTCTTATAATTTCTATATTAAATACATTAAAACAAATACACTTTTTCAAATTACAAACCGTGCACGCACGAATATGAGATCTAGTTTTATCAAAGGCAAATTCTTGAATGGACCCAAGATCCATAATGTCTATGGTGGATATTCTTATATGTTAGATAAAAAATTTTCTAGTGTCGAAATAAACAATTTTTAAATAATAAAAAAAATAAAAAAAATTGCGTGAAAAGGTTTATGTGGATCCACCATAGAACCTCACTTCATCAAATTATCAGGGATACCGAATCTAAATAAGGGCTATAGTTGAGGGACCCCAAATTTTTTTCCCACCCCTTACATACATTTACAAATATGAAACAATGTTGGATGTTGAATGTCTCTTTTACTTGTAAGAGGATCCTCCTATTTACAATAGCAGCAGGAAAAAAGTCCCGCTCAAATGTTGTATCAACCGTCCGTGCATGATTTCAGCACGATCTCCCTCAGAGTGTCTAGACGCTACTATCTCGCCACCAGTTTCTTCTAGGATAAGGTTTTAGCATGTTTCCCTCAAATTGGAGACCTACCCTCTCAGCCTTGCGACACACAAATTCTTCTTTCGATCCTCATCATGCACTACCACAAGAACAGAGACAATATTGATAAAGGGATAATGATGCAAAGAGGACGGATGGTAGGACCAGACTAGGGTTTCGACAGATGCAATTCCCTCTATTGTGCAATTCCCCAATTTGGCAGGATCAGGCTAGGGTTTCGCTCAAATGTTTCGCCTCTTTAGTAAGGTATAAAAGATGTTTTGTTTTTGTATAAAATCACTAGCAAATTATGTAGGCATGTGTTGTATCCTTTTATGGTCCTGCTTCAATTGGTATACTTTTCCTCCTTAAATTCATTTTGAATTAATTTTAATTAAATCTGTATTCTCAAATAATTATTGATTTTGAATTCATTTTTTCCCAGACTCACTAGAAGGCTATGGCTCATAACTGCCTTTGATTTAGTCCTAATCTCATCATAAGGTAAAATATTTCCATTACACTTTTTCTCTGTTGAATTTTTGAACTACATACTAGAAAATTTTAGGTTCATTTTTGTGTCGAACTCTTTAATTTTTCCATAAATAATGTAGGAGGATGTAGCTACCCTTTATTCTGATGCAATCTCTTCCCCATTCAAAACTCATATACATGGAAGGTGTCGACTTACACTTTTGAAATATATCAAACCGAGACTAGAAAAAGGCTTCACACGTTATTGAATGCTTTTGGCATTTACGTTTGAGATATTTCTTTCTTTTTTGCTAACTTGGTTTTATCCGTGCAGATATTTGCAATATGAAGGGTGGTGAGTTTATTTAGCTAACTTATTTGAACTCACTTAAGGCAATATTTCTATTCTCACTTTTTTACAAAATATGAAAAGATTAATCTATTATAAATTTAAGGATATAGGCAGCTAACTTATTTAATGTACAGAAAAATTGAACTCACTATTTAATTCTGATAAAACCAATATCAGAATAGAAATCAGTTAGCTCACTATTTAATCTATTAGAAATCAGTTTTTGCTTCACAAGAAAAGCGTTGCTAGATATTTTCAATATGAATGGTGGTGAGTTTCAATGGGTGGTTTTCAATGGTGAGTTTATAATTGTTTATGACTGCACCGTGAGATTTCCTCCATAAATCATCTCTAATATAGGATAAAATACACAATATTGTTCTAAAGAGAAATTTAATGTTGAAGATGCAAAAATTTGAAACCCATAAATAGTATTGTTTGAATTTCATGGTACTTGAAGATTTTTTTTTAAGTTGAAAAAGAACAAATGATGCTTAAATAACAGTTGTATTTCCTTTTTACCCTGGTGAAAGTTGTTTTTCATGTTTGTATATGTTATCTTTTTGGAGCTATCATTTCTACCAATCTAATGATCTTATCATTTTTGTCTAAATGCATTATCTATTAATCTTATGTGCACTGCTTTGGGTGCTATAGAACAGAAAGAAAAACTTCAAAAAGTGAAACCTCAACTAAATAAGCTGCTCCCAGGCATAGAATGCCAAATTGGAAGACAGCTTCTAGAATTTGAGGTGGCCTCTTTGGCTGTTTATTTAACCATTTGTCTCTCATGAACTGGGCTTTTTTTAATTCCAATTTTTTATCTCCTTCATAAATAGAGAATAAATTTTTTCCTTTTTTATATGGGTTGGTGTTGTGAGTTTGGAGCTTCGTTAGACCTTTAGATTCATCCCGGATGTGGAATTTCAATAACGACTCTAAATTGTTGAGTCTAACAGTCTAGCCTTGCCATTGATGGTTGCCTACTTTAGAGAGCTGCCAAAGAAGTTATAATAATCTTTTGATGGATGCCACTATTTTGTTTAATGCATGCTATGGAGGAACAACTGCTTAGTAAAAGTGTGTGGATTGTGTGCATTGGGTTGAAAGCAGCTATTGGGATGGATGCTATGATATGGCTGTATGCACTGGTACTATGGTGGTGCAGTATGATTTATTACCTTTATATATATTTATCTCCTATACTTGAACATGATGTTTTAATTAATTGAAGTTGCTTTTAAGTGGGCTTGATAGACTATATTGCATGATAAATGGTGCATTATACATTGTAGGGATGAATTGCTTGACTGAGATGGCTATTTATTTATTCATGTATGTATTTGTTAAGCTTAATATCTCATCAACCTCATGCCTCATTTGCAACATAAACAAATCTTAAATGTTTTTCAACCACTTATTAAAAGTTTTGGTAGAGCCAGACTAAAGAATGGCTAAGTATTATGCTTAGTTCAAAACATAACACTAATGATATTTTTGTAGGTAAACATAGAGTACGATGGATTGTCTTCAACACAGATGGCACACTTTATATAGATAGTAGTGTGGTGGGAAAAAATCTCACACCACTGATGGCAGGTTGATATTGATACTCTATACTGATGGCACACCATTGACACTCTAAATACTATAATTGCATATTGATATGTCCTTGTTGAACTTAACATACTGTATCTATCTATAATGGTACATGTTTGATTTCTATGAATTTTCTGCACAGAATTATCAAATTTGTGCATTAATGAATGCAAGATATATAGCAAATCCTAGCCCACTATCTTTTCTGTGTGGAAAATATTGCTTTCTTATTTGCCTCCTCACTCATTGGGTATTCATTATAGTATTTACCTCTTCATACTTTCATTCATTATGTAGGTTTCACTAGGTCTGTAATACTAAGGAGTGGATTGTTGTCTGATTTAATTTCACAGGTTCAGGAGTTGCTTAAGGGATTAAATGGCGCAGAGACATTTCCTAGAAAGTATGATGCTGCTCTTTCAGCTACTCAAGTACTAAGATCCTATGTTTCATTATCCATGGATATTGTAATAATGTCAGTCGGAAATCTGCTGTTCAAGTCAAGAATTAAGTCACGCGTACACCATGTTGATATTAGATCTATCCTCTATGACCAAGGGGCTTAGGATATTGACTTTTTATTCTACTCCTGTTTGTTTGCTAAGCACATTTTTAATAACATATCTGTCTTAGTTAGCTATGCTATTACTACTGATAACTTGAAATGCACTTTGGATAGATTGCTGGAGTTGAAACCTATGAAATGGAGAATGGTGATTGTAGCTACTTCTGCTGCTTGCTGCCTGCGATGCTATTTGGAAATGGAGAAATGCTAAGATACATGGAAAAGCTGAGCTTAATGCCAATGAATGTATTGGTTGGATCAAATGGCAAGTTAACACATACAATAGTAGCTAGAAAGAGTATGGTTTAATGTTTTGTTTGGTGTTGTTTGTATTGACATTTTCTAAAGTTAATATGGTTTGCGTTTCGGTTAAAAAAAATGTTTTCGTCTCACGTGTGACCAATCACCAAGGGCTGAATATTTTAGTTTGTGATGAAGAAGGCAAAGGAACGGACCACACTACCAATGTGATTGACAAAGAAGTTTTCTAAAATTTGTGATTTGGTAACATATACTGAGTATTTGGAATATTATACCTTTTTTCCCCTAAAACACTAAGCAATTTTATTACTGTATTTAAATTTATTGTAATTGTGTTCAGATGTGGAAAATTTTTAGAATTTGCTCATTTCCTTTAAGCCTACATTATGACAATTTATTGTTTTTATTCCTTTATAATAAAAAAATATTTTTACCATGCATCGCACGGGTTAAAATCTAGTGGTGTTAAAAACGATAATTAAAAATTTGGAGGCAAAAATCAAAATAACATTTTGCAATTGGATATGTCCAGAAGTCTAAAAGAACATGACTCGTGTTCAGCTGATCTCGGACCTTTGCCCCAACGGCCATAAACCTGAAACAGTCAAACATTCTAAAATCTAAACCCCTGCAATTCCACCACCACCGCTGTGTCTGACTGCCACCATGAATTCATCCTTCAATATCACTCAAAATCTGGATAACATTTTCCTCCAATCCATGATGCGCAGGCTCCAGATCCGTCCGCCATCTCCTGACCTGCTCTCTGTGAAATCCCTAGAAGACCTCCTCTTCAATAGCCTCCTCTCGGGCAAAAACGACGACTCAGATGAAGAAGAAGAAGAAGATGATGAAGGTGGCGTTGAATCGACCCAAAAGTCCCAGGTGGCGAAGGAAAAATCGAGGCTTGAGAAAGAGATCATCCGCACTATTCACAGCGGCAATTTGGACTCTCTCAAACCCAACTCCGGTCAGGCTGCGTCAATAGGCGAGCACCACATTTGCGTCGGGTTTCATGAGGACTCTGAGTCGAATTACCGGGTCTGGGAGTGGCACGGTCATATCATGCTGTTTGATGAGGAAAATGGGTACACTCCTGAGTATATATATGGGAACTATTTTGAGAGAGTTAGTGCTAAGCCGGTAATGAAGAAAAAGCAGTCTGAAGAAGAGAGGCTGGAGATGAAAGTGGAGAAGGTCGGAAACTTGGGGCTGAGGGAGTTGATAGAGACAGTCGAGTCAAATAGTGAGGCTCGGGTGCTAAGGAGGAATATGAATGCAGGCTCTCCAAACTTTCTATCAGGCACGCCTTTCCCTTTGTCTTTTGTCATTATTATTACAGTATGATAGATATATTCTTTTAACTTTTATGGCGCTGCTTCTAAGTTAAGTGTTTATGAGTATTTGCAATTTGGGGCTCACTTTGCAGTGAAGTCTTTTAACTGTTATTTGTTTTCTTTTACCTTTTATATTTTCCAACACATGATACAAAGGAAGGCACATAGACACTAATTGTAGCCCATTTTGTTTGTTACCAATATTTCAATTAAGACATTGTTTTGCTAATAGGATAGACATACCATTCATAGAACTTAAGATGTAACTAAGCAGGTTGGCTTTAGGTCTCTTGGATTGACTAATTGACTGTACTGATTACTGAACATTTACCTTATTCCCGATTAGGGCAAGGTCACGGCATCAAGGGATTCCCCTTTTTATCCATTCTCTTTCTAGTCTGCCTTGGCCTCCTTTAGAATACTTCAACTTTTTTATTGTGGCTTACCCTTTAGGCATAAAAGTGTAATATTTACCTTACTTTTTTTTTGAAATGACCTCACGTCTAGATTCTTGTTTTTTTAGATTCTTGTTGTTCATTTTTTTAGGAACTTGTTTCTGGTTAGAACTTACATTAGGCTCAGCCACTTAATCCAAAAATCATTTTTTCTTATATACTACATGTTATGGTGAAGAATCTTCAAAGTATGCATTTAAATGTATTTTAATGGGGAAAAGACTAATTTAGGAGTAAACATAGAAAATATACCAAAATAGAAGTTTTATGTTTTTATTCCCAAAATAAGAGTTAAAATGCATTTACATTACCAAAGAGTATTGTGAAGTGTCTATACACAGTGCTACATTACCACAGTGTAAACTCCTATTCTGGGAATAAAAACATGGAGATCCTATTTTGGTACTTTCTCTATGTTTTACTCCTATTGAGAGTAATTCCTTATTTCCATGACCATTCTTAATTTTTAACAAGCAAAACCTCATTTTAGTCTTGAGGAAAAGTGAACATGAGAATGTTGAAGCCTTAATTAGCCTTTAAAGGATATGTTATTTTGTTATTTAGGAATTAAACCCACATTTTATGAAAGGTTTGTGGCATGTGGAACCCCACTCATGATGCTCTTTTCCAATAGTTCACCTGCCCCTGTAGAAGAGGCATCTCTAAGCAGTGATGTAAAATACCATGGACCCATTATAGTTTTCTATTTCGGGTCACAATTGAAGTCTTCAAAAGTTTTCAGTGGTAGCATCTAGTTTGATAGGAGTGCCAAAAATATTGGCTATTTGTGTGAGAGATTCCTTGGAATGAAGATGGATTGGGAGATTTTTTATGGCTATCCAGATTGGGAGGATGGGTGATTCGTATTTGGGATCAAAATTGGGAGTCCATTTAGAAATCTTCATTTTGAATTGCCCAAAACTCCATTCTCTTCTCTTAAAACATCTGTGGTATTCATCATCTTTGGAGAAGTTTAGGAGAACACGTGTAGAATCAATAAGTGTGACTGAAAAATCAGTGAAGCCTATTCTTTCAAGATTGTGTTTCAAAAAGTCTAGGCTTGGTCTTCCAAAGTAGAACGAGCCAATAAGGGATTTAGAAAATCTTGTTGAGAGTTGGATAACTTCTTCTTGAGTGAATGATATGCAAGGAAGACCTTTGTGTTTTTCAATGGTTCTTGGAGGAAGGTCAAGAGATGGTACCTGGATTTTATTGTTGAGAATGGCTGCTGCATAGCTTTTGTTTCTGCTGGGGACAGTAGCTGGCCTTGAAGCTGGAACTGTGGAGGCAGACTTTGGATGAGGTTGCTGGCCGGAGGATGGACCGGAAGAGGTCACCAGCATTGCTGGAAGAGGGCCCTGCCGTAGAGAGAGAAAACTTATTATATATATATATATATATATATATATTAAATTTAAATAGTTTTTTATTAATAAGAAGGCAAACAAGTACAAGAGGAGGGGTCCAAGCCAAAGCTCCTCAAAACCGAATACACCAGCAAAAACAGACCAAGAAAGAGACGAGATAGAGTCTACAAAAACTAAAGTAAAAAACATTGAAATACAAATGCAACCCCAAAAGTGGGTCTTCAAAGACTCCAATTATTAACATGTGAACACAAGAAGACAGACCCGTAGGAGGCCCCCAACCTGCTGCCCGACAGTTCATGTTGTTCAAGCCTTCTTCAAAACAGCAACAGAGCCCGTTCCTCAAAAGCTGCTGCATAACTTGGAAAAGTTCTCCTTAAGTGAAAAAGAAAAGCCCCAAAAACCATACGAGCCTAAGAAACTGACCGAAGGCAGTGAACAGACCCAGAGAACAAAAAAACCAGCTCAAGTATGTTAAGACATCAAGGTAGAGGAGCCAAATGAACTACCCTACATTCTTCATCAAAGCTTGAGTATGCAAAATTGTTGATTCAAGAGCAGACCGAATAATAAGGCAGCAAAACTGTTGATTCAAGAGTAGACCGAATAACCAAAGCAACAAGAGACACACTAGACCTAAGACTATCATCAGTGCAATCCAAGAAGCAAAAGCCATAGTAGAACTATAACAAAAGCTAAGCCCAGCAACTCGGATTATGAGCCGATTTAAACGGAGCTAATTGGGGGATCTTCACCCTCATCTCCTGAGAGGAATTCGGTAACCAGCTGTTCATCAGCTCTGCAAAATGAAATGAAAATTGGGAATTTAGATCCTTCTATTTGGGCCATTCGCACCTTCTCCACGCTTTTTACTGTTTCTCGAGTTGCTCTCATTGTCTTCCCCGACATGTTGTGAACTAGACCCGTTTTGAGGTTTTCCAACACCAATTTCTTAGCTAATGCCTCTTTGATATATATATATATATATATATATATATATATATATATATATATATATACTCCCTCCGTCCCCCATAGATCTTCTCAATAGCCCTTTTTCTTTGTCCACAATAAATCTTCTCATTTCACTTTTTAACAATTAAAATACCACAACTACCCCCACTTACTTTATTTATTACACCTCACCCACCTCATTTATTACACTCCACCCATTTTTCATTAAGGGTATTATGGTAAACTTTCACCTTTTTTCAACTCTCCTTAAAAACCACCAAAAGTCAAAATGAGAACATCTTAGGGGGACGGAGGGAGTATATATATATATATGTATATATATATATATAGTCCCAAAGTAGAACGAGCCAATAAGGGCTTTAAAAAATCTTGTTGAGAGTTAGATAACTTCTTATTAACATTTCTGAAGGGAGGGTTTCTGAAGAATCTTCCTACCATTTCTCCAATAGGATTCTAGTCCCAACCCCTTGAAGTCATCATTTTGTACCATCCATTTCTTGTTCTTGTTAACCCAGCACCAAGCTTGGAGGGTCTTAAAGCATACTTGAGTAATGCCTTCTGGCGTAGGAATGATCCCATTATGGAGATGGGAGTTGCGAGCTTTCCACAATGACCAGCTGCAAATACCCGGTAAAATGAGACGAAGGTTACCTTTAAAGTGTTTGGTATTGCTACTAAACCACCATGCAAGGATATGTTGACGTAAGGAGGTACGTTCCTTGACGTGTGGGCCATTGGTAAGAGAGGCAAGGAGGTTCCAAACTTTGGTGGCTGTCGGGCAGTGGAGGAGGGAGTGGTCCATGGAATCAGTATTATGGCGACAGATTGAGCAGATGCTAGGAGAGGTGTTGGCAAATCTGTTGAGGGTGGCTGCAAAAGGAAGGATGTTGTTGAAAACTTTCCATACCTGCAGATTCTTTTCCAAGATGGTGAGTCTGTAATCCTCTCTTTCATGATCCCTTGCTTCATGTATTTTGCTCTAGCAAATGTTCCCCAGATTCCCATGTCATGATTTGCTTTCCACCATAATTTGAGTGTGTATGCTTGTTGTAAATCCTCAATGTTCTTTACTCCCAGCTCCTGCCGCTTCAGATTTTGTGATTTGTTCCCATCTCTTCCAATGGTATTTTGGTTTACCTTGCCTCTGTCCCCATAGGAAGTTGGCCATATAAGTGTTGAGGACATGGATGATGGATTTAGGGAGGGATTGTACTCCAATGATATGTAAAGGTATGGAGGAAAGGACATGCTTAATAAGGATAAGCCTCCCCATTTGATTCAAGGTTTTGTTGTACCAAGAGTGGATGAGCTTTTCGAAGTGGCTCATGATCTGTTTGGAGTGCTCCTTCCTTAAAATACCCGGAAGATTGTTGCCCCAAGATAGATAAAGGGAAGGGTTCCTCTATTGATACCTAACGCTTTCTCCATGTTCTGAGCCTGAGTGGTGGTTGTGTTCTTGGAGGAGTAGAATTTGCTCTTAGAGAAGTTGATCTCCTGACCAGAAGCTTTGAGATAGAGTTCAAGAGTGCGTTTAAGTTTGATCAGGTTCCTGGTTTCTCTCCTAGTGAAAATCATGAGATCATCAGCATAGATACGGTGGGATGGGAAAAGGACCTGACCAGCATTGAATCTGAGAAGGTGCTGTGAGTTCATCTGTTGATTGAGTAGTCTGCTGAGAATAGAGGAGATAGGGGGTCACCTTGCTTGACACCCCTCTCCATCCTGAAGTATCCTGTGGGTTCTCCATTGATAAGCACACTAAAGTTGGTTCCTTTGAGGTTTGCCATAAGTAGGTTGATTGAGTGAGAGTTGAAACCAAAAGCAGCCAGAATTTTCTCAAGATATTCCCAGTCCAACCTATCAAAAGCTTTAGCCATGTTAATTTTGATAATGAGGTTACTCCCAAAAACTTTCTTGTCAATTAGGTGAATGGCCTCCTCTGCCATAAGTACATGATCATCAATGGATTTTCCTTTTTGAAAGGCTGCCTGTTCTGGGGATAAGAGTTTTGGCAGTAAGGTGCTCAGTCTGCTGGCCAGGAGCTTGGTGTTTATCTTACTCATGAAAGTTGAAAGAGAGATGGGTCTGAAGTCATCAAACTTCCCGGGGTTTTCAGTTTTGGGAATGAGAGTCAGGAGGGTGCTGCCATAAGCCTTTGGGATAGGGACACCTAAGAAGAACTCCTGAGAGGTATTGAGTACATCATGTTTTATGATATCCCATGTGGTTTTGAAGAATTTTCCATTAAAACCATCTGAGCCTCCGGCACTGTTATCATCCAGTTCCCAAACAGCTTGTTTAACCTCTTCCAAAGTTGGTAGGGTGCTGAAAAGGGAGTTGTCTTGAGGGGAGAAAACAAGGGGGATGAGGGGAAGGAAGGGGTCAACTGAGGGAAGATGTGTTTTCTTGAAGGTGTTAACAAAGTAGGATACTGCTTCATTCTTGATATCTTCAAGGTTGTAGTATCCTTTTCCATTGGAGCCAATAATATGATAAATGGTTAGTTTCTTTCTCTTACCTTTGTCATAAGCTTGAAAGAGTTTGGTGTTTGTGGAGATTGTACGGACCAACCACACACCAACGAACAAGAACAACGTAGGAACATTGGCGACCAAAACTTTGAAGAGGATTGCCAGAAAGTTGGCTGGAAAATCAAGAGCTCTCTCTAAAGAAAAACAAGAAACTATTGCCTTTTTTTTCCCCTTCCTCACGTAAAAAACCACTCACATAAAACGCACCACACAAAACAATGGAGAGCCCTTGATATTTATAACTAAGGAATTTTAAAAAGTGTAACTCCTACACCATTAATCCATGGCATTTGTGGCACACTAATGACGTGTTAATGGTGATTAATTAGCCATTAACAAGTCCGTTACGCTACGCTTCGTTTAAAATTTGTCCCAAATAATTGGAGATTAATGGCCAGTTAGCTCCGTAAAAATGGAATAATTTTAAACAATACGTAAAATTAATAATAGAAGATTGGTTCAGTAAAATTGCAAAAACTGCAACCCTTACCATATTCTTCTATTGACGGGTTAACTCTGAGAATCAATTTCTCATTCACCCTCTACCATTTTTGGCGTATAAATTATCAAAACATCTATCTCATTTAAGAGAACACACGTCCATTAATTAACGGTTAAAACCGTTAGTGGACCTATTGATAAATATACCCAAGTTGGTCCATTTATTGCCTATTAAAATGCCAAAAATTCCAACAATCCCCCACATGAATGAAAAATTGATTTGGGGGTCGACAACATCCCACGGTTGAAAACCTGCAAAGAACATGTAAGTGTCTCCACTTTTGAACCTGTCCCTTGTAAAGTATACCTTCTTTACTGGCTGTTCAGTAGAACACGATGTGTTTGAACTGTACTGCCGTTTGTGTAAACGATAGTATACCATACATAGATTCCAACCAAACGTCATCCTGTTCTCATGGTTGTGCCCATTTTGGTCGTGGGACAGGCGCCCCATTCTACGAGAGTGTTTAGAGGATTAAGCCCAAGATCCTCCATTTGAAGCGACCACACTTCACTCTTACATAGGTGATTCTTTAAGAGTATCCCGATTACTCCCCTTAGACCACCGTGTCTTTTGGTTAAGAATCATTAAAGCATATTTATATGCTAACCTCATCATATTCAGGATTCACTGTCTTCAGCAGGAGCAGAAGGGATTGACCGGAGGTTCCGGTACCGCCCCCACAGTGACCACGCTCCATCCTACAAGTAGGTTGTCCCATTGAACATGGGTACCAGCCAGGTTGGGTTTTCCTTCATAGGACTGTCCTAGCACAAGGGCTTCAAACTCATTCCTGCCACCAACTTCTCATGCAACTCATTTGTTAACCTTTTGGTTACCGGATTCGCCAGATTATCTTTTGACTTCACATAGTCAATTGTGATAATCTCAATTGTGAGAAGTTGTCTAATAGTTTTGTGTTTACGACGAATATGTCTAGACTTACCATTCTACATGTTACTCTTTGCAAGGCACCCCCACACTTTCAGGTATTTATAGGAAGATTTCATATTATACCACAACTCGTAAGGAGTCTTAACGAGTTTCTTTTGGGGTATTTTATTTAACAAATAATTGCTAGATAAAATAGCATCCTTTAAGACCAATTTTCTTCTTGTCTTTGTTTGGCTTAGGCCCGTTGGAAGAACCCTCTTTGGGTGGATGCTCCACCACATTCGCTATCCATGCTTCCATAGCCTGAACTGTTTCCTCGTTCGCGTTCTCCCCCACAACAGGGGGATCCTCCCTCAAGTACCTCGCAAGGTTGGGTGGTCAGCCAAAATAACATCCTTTGCTGCCATATTTTAAAGCCAACACCTGTGAACTTTGCCAGTTCTTTGACAGAGTTCGCAAGCAGCATGACATTAGGATGTCCGACCGGTGCGGATGTAAAGACACTCGTGTTTGTTCCAAGTGAGGGAATGAAGCCGAAGCCATATTCGGTCCGAGTGGGGTGACCATTTCGGCTGTAGCCGCGGTTGGTCCAATAACCGAGGTGACCGGAGCGGACCCCATAGTCGCGCTCGATCCAACGAAGGTAGTGATCGGAGTGGACCCCACGGCCGCACTCGATCCAAAAGGAATGTTGATCGGAGTGGTAGCCACCCAATCCAGCCGAAACGTTTACAACCAGAGTCTCGGAACTACTCCCGTTTTTGGTGTGAGCGTCAAAACCGAATCTGTCCATACCCCCCATCGTGCACGGATATGACTACTACCTTAAGATTGTTACAATTTTTTTACGGATTACAACGGACAAAAAAGATGAACGGTCCCGGAAAATAAAAAAAATAAAATTCTAAATTTATAACTTATTCAGAATTTTACAAGATAAACAGAATTGAAAATAAATTTCTATATCTTCAAAAAGCCTTATTGTATGAAGACATTAAGCATTGGACAAGGAGGACATTATTCAATGGACAACGAGGACGTTATGCACTAGGCTGCGAGGACATTATGTCCTAGGGCAAAACGCAGCGAGGTCTTTATGAACTAAACGTGCAAAATAAAACACCGTGGAAGAACAGCGGAGTCACCGGAGCTGTCCTTAAGGTAGTAGTGCCCGCCTACCGTACCCCAAAAACGTGGGCACTCTCCTCCCAATATAAAATCGCTATCGTGTGTGGAGATTGTACAAACCAACCACACACCAACGAACAAGAACAACGTAGGAACGTTGGCGACCAAAACTTTGAAGGGGATTGCCAGAAAGTTGGGTAGAATATCAAGAGCTCTCTCTAAAGAAAAACAAGAAACTATTTCCCTTTCTTTTTTCCCTTCCTCACGTAAAAAACCACTCACATAAAACGCACCACACAAAACAATGGAGAGCCCTTGATATTTATAACTAAGGAATTTTAAAAAGTGTAACTCCTACACCATTAATCCATGGCATTTGTGGCACACTAATGACGTGTTAATGGTGATTAATTAGCCATTAACAAGTCCGTTACGCTACGCTTCGTTTAAAATTTGTCCCAAATAATTGGAGATTAATGGCCAGTTAGCTCCGTAAAAATGGACTAATTTTAAACAATACGTAAAATTAATAATAGAAGATTGGTTCAGTAAAATTGCAAAAACTGCAACCCTTACCATAATCTTCTATTGACGGGTTAACTCTGAGAATCAATTTCTCATTCACCCTCTACCATTTTTGGCGTATAAATTATCAAAACATTTATCTCATTTAAGAGAACACACGTCTATTAATTAACAGTTAAAACCGTTAGTGGACCTATTGATAAATATACTATATACCCAAGTTGGTCCATTTAATGCCTATTAAAAATGCCAAAAATTCCAACAATATATATATATGGATGTATATATATATGTGTGTGTGTGTATATATATATATATATATATATATATAGATTTTGGTTCAAGTGAGAATGCGATCTTATGAAAGAAATAAGAATGAATCTGGTGCTTTAGATTATGAGATCTAAGGGTCAAGATTGCATCAAAATTAGGTGCACCAAAATGGGTTAAAAATGCATCAAAATCCTTTGAAAATGCACTATCTCAAAATCTGAGTGTAGGATGCAATCTGAGCCCCACGATGCATCCGATCTAAAGGCTAGATTTTATTCTTATTTCTTTCACCAAGGTGCATTCTCACTTGAACCAGCCCATATATATATATATATATATATATATATATATATATATATATATATATATATATATATATATATATATATATATATATATATATAGGGATTGACTCCAATGAGATGACACCTTACGGTGAGATGACATCCTACGGTCAAATGATGCAAAGCTCACCACTGCCAACTGCAAAGCTTACCAAGGACAACTACAAAGCTCACCAAGTTGTAAGGCAAAGCTCACCATATTTTTTCAACACTTTGAATTTTTTTTGAAAAAATAAAATCAAAGAAAGGGGTGCTGACTGGACTTTGACCGTTGACAGAGACCTTTGACCACCACCTGCCGCCACCGGACACCGTCGGTTGCCAAAATCCGCCGCCGCCGCCGGTCTCCGGAATCAGCCGCCGCCCCGCTGCCGGTCGCCGGTCGCCAGAATTTGCCGCCACCGCCGGTCGCCAGAATCTGCCGCCTGCCGCCGCCATGCCGCCGGTGACCTGTGGTTGACCGGTGTTGTTATTTTATTTTTTATTAATTTTAAATATTAAAAATAAAAAAAAGGTGAGTTTTTGGTGTTCAAAGTGGTGAGTTTTACTTTATTTCTAGGTGAGCTTTGCATTGTCAATTGGTGAGCTTTGTAGTATAGTGCGGTGAGCTTTGTGTCATCTCACTGAAGCATGTCATCTCACTGGAGTCAATCCCAATATATATAAAACATTTGTAACGATCAGCCAACACATCTTGCCGGTCAAACCAGCTAAACAAAGTAGTCATTCTGAACAAGTAAGACAAATAGTCAACATCCAATCAAGGCATTTGTCTTTACATTTTTTTCCCCAACTCTATGAGTTTCCTGGCTCCGCCCCTGATTAGAGACCGTGAAAAGTCATTCGACAAATTAACTTTAGGAAGGAAGAAGTATTACTATTAATCTCTGCTCAAAACTAAATTTAATTTTTCTTAGTGACCGTCTAGTCAAGTCTAGAAAAACCCTTGGGATGGGTTTCATCTTTTAAAAAAACCTAAAATTAAGACTTAGAGGAGAACAAAGAGACAATTTCTTCGACCATTTTTTGAGTTTTTTTTCATTTCCAACAACGGTTTTTCTCCCATTCCTTCACATTTGAAGGGGTATGGATGCCCTCCCACTAAATTAATGACATTTGTATATAATCTTTGAGTCCAATTTGTTCGGAGAAAAAAATATTTCATTAGAAAAATTCTATTTTAATTTTCAATGTTTGCTAACATAAGTAGTAAAAAATTATTTCTCTAAGAAAAAATCTTCTCTCATATATACAAAATATTTTTCAAAAAAAAGGATATAAAATAGTTTTCAGAAAAAACATTTTCTCAAATATTTTATGCTCAATACTCGAATCCCCTAATTTCACAAACAAAGAAAAGACATTATACGTGATCTGGGGATTTTACTATCCCCTTCCAGAATTCTTATATATATTTTTATTCATATTTTTATTTATTTAGCTTTGTCACTATTTGTTTTTATAAGTAACTTTTCTTTATTATTTTTAGGCCATGGAAAGTAAACTGAAAAAATGTATAAAAAATAAATGACTTGAATTAACTTTATTTATTCAAAAAATGACTTTAATAATCAAACTATTTTTTCGTTAACTTATTTTCAATTTTTTCATATTTTCAATTTTTTCATTTTTTCAATTTTTTCATAATAAAACAATTGATAAGTAAATAAATAAATACTACATACTACGTAAAAAATAAAAACAACTAAATAATTGTGGTGTTATCCCATTTTGCATTCTTTTATAATCACTGTTTTTATACGTAATATAAAGATTCGGTGGTGTTATTTTCCATATGGCATTAATTTAGTGGGAGGGCTCAAATGTGAAGGCTTGGAAGGAAGAAAAACCCTTCCAACAAACCCAATCTACGAGATTAATATAACGGTCCCTTTCCTTATTTTCCTCTCTTCCCCTTGTCACTCTGACCAACCGTTTCTCTCTCTCGAGCAAATCGATTCTTAGAGGAAAAAAAGGACCAACTTTTTCATATGAATTTTCTTCTTCACCAAGCTCCCTGAATCTTCCGAAAAAATGTGCTACAATGGACCAGCGAAGGACGTTGACGATGAATTGGGACAATGACCATGAAGAAGACGATGATGATAACTTTTTCGAGCCACGAGATCGGTTTTCCTCCGTCGTGCCGGAAGATTTGGCATCTGACGACAACGACTTTGATGAAGAACGCTTCTCGTTTTGCTCAGCTATCTCCTCGGCCAACAACTCCTTCGAGGAGGCTGCCGCTGCCAATGCCGCGAGACCTTGCTCTGTTCTCGCAGTTGATTATGATTTGTGGTTGGCGGAGCCGGGGGACGTCAAGGAGCGCCGCCGCCGCCTCCTCCAAGGCATGGGGCTTTTGAGCAACAAGAGCATGCAAAAGATCGCTAGCGCAAAGAAGTTGGGGAGGGAAATTCCAAAAGAAGCTGAACCAGAAAAGGCAGAGGATTCAAAACAGCCAAAAGAGTCTTCTTTTTCTCCCCGGAGATTGGGCATTGTTCTTGTCCGGTCAAGATCCGCCGGTGATATAGGCTCCTTATCTATCGATGCCAACAAGAGGAAAGAAGACTTGATTGGGTCTGGCCCGTTGATCCGAAACAGATCAACGGCCAGAAATGGGATGCCCCCGCCTATCCTTCTAGGAGGCGGGAACCTCAACCCATTTTTCCTGATAAAGGGGGGTAACGAGTTCGATAACAACTTGGACAGATTCTCCCCCGTTGCCGAGGAAGTGATACACAGAGCAAGCGCGTCACCCGGCAACAACTATGACCGAAAACTGCATGTAAATTCGTATCTTACCAAGAGCGTTAGGTACAGTAAGAGGAGAGGGGTTGCCATTCTGAGGAACATAAAGGGAGTGGTGATGAACGGGGAACAGAAGCCGAAGTCGAAGCCAAGCAAGCACTCATCTCAATGGATCAAAGTCCGGCAGCACGGGAAGCCGTACAAGGAGTTCACGGGCTTACATTTGTGTCAAGAAATCCACGGCCACCAAGGCTCAATTTGGAGCATAAAGTTCAGTTCGGACGCGCATTACTTAGCAAGCGCTGGAGAGGATAGAGTGATTCACGTGTGGGAAGTGCAAGAATGCGATGTCATGGCCGGGGCCACGCCTGTACATCCTGCAACGGTTGCAAGTCCCGCCGCTTGCGCGTCTCCCGTTCATCCCATGGCTTCCTGCAGCAATTTGGAATGCGGTTCGGTTGGAGCGAACAGTGAGAGAAAGAATAAGAAGAAGAAGAAGAAGGGGAAATCAATTCCAGACTATGTGATTGTCCCGGAAACTGTGTTTGCTCTTTCGGAGAAACCAGTTTGCACTCTCATTGGCCATCATGACGTTGTGTTGGACCTCTCTTGGTCAAGGTCTCAGGTTAATTAATTACAAGACTGTACTTTTTGAACTTGTACTCCATTTTGCTGTAGATGTAAATTAAAGTGTTGTTATAAGACTTTGTTTAATCCCTTTCACAGCTCCTTCTTTCCTCTTCAATGGACAAGACAGTGAGACTGTGGGATGTGGAGAACCAGAGCTGCTTGAAAATGTTTGCCCACAATGACTATGGTGAGTTCACATGTTTTCTATTTTTTTTACGCATACCTTCCAAGTTTACAAAAGGGTTGTTATTTTGGATTGGCATATATATATATATATATATATATATATATATATATATATATATATATATATATATATATATATATATATATATATATAGCGTCTATGTAAAGTAGGTAGTGAGATGAGGAGTGGGTTTTGGTGTTATTGTGTAGTAACATCCATCCAGTTCAACCCAGTGGATGATGACTATTTCATCAGTGGGTCACTGGATTCAAAGGTTAGGATTTGGANCTCCTCATCTCACTACCTACTTTACATAGACGCTATATATATATATATATATATATATATATATATATATATATATATATATATATATATATATATATATATAGCGTCTATGTAAAGTAGGTAGTGAGATGAGGAGTGGGTTTTGGTGTTATTGTGTAGTAACATCCATCCAGTTCAACCCAGTGGATGATGACTATTTCATCAGTGGGTCACTGGATTCAAAGGTTAGGATTTGGAACATATCAGAGCGGAAAGTGGTGGACTGGACTGATCAAAAAGAAATGGTCACTGCTACTTGTTACACACCTGATGGAAAGGTGACCGGCCACTGAATTTCATTTTCCTCCTTTTTTGGCAGTTGATTCTTATATATGTATATGATAAATCATTGTTTTCACTACATATGAAAGGGTGCCATGATAGGTTCGCACAGAGGAAGCTGCCGTTTTTACAGTACCACTGGTACGTAATATTGTGCACCAATCTGTATCTTGTTTTGTTTCCTGCTGTTGTCTATTCTTTTAATAGCAAAAAACAAAATTAAGGTCAATAATTTTTTACCTGGCTGTTTTTTGTTTGGAAACTTTCATAAATAACTTAATTAGTTTAATGATTGTTGTTTTTCAATTTATCACTACTTCATGTACAATTATTTACGGACTATATCATACAAGTTATAACTTTAAAAACATTTAAGCAAAATTTGAATAAAGGGGGAGTTATACTAGTTAGACCTGTAATAATCATTTTTTCCATACATGGATACATACATCATCATTTTGAGTAATAAAGCTTGTGTGCTGATCTTTGTTCTGTACCATTGTGTCTTAAGATTGCAAACTGGAACAAAAAGATCAGTTCGATACACAAAACAAAAAAAAGTCCCAAATAAAAAAGACTACAGGTTTTCAGGTACTGTATATTTAGGATTTTGTGTGTGTGTGTGTTTGTTTTATGAGTTCATCCAATATAATCTTGAATGGTTGATTCGACCATTTTTTTCACAGTATTCACAATGGAATTCCTCAGAGGTCCTCATTTCCACAGCCGATTCGAGCATCCGAATCCACGATGGATCAAGTTTCACTCACAAGTTTAAAGGTCACCTTTCACTTCCATGACAGAAACAAACATGCTCTTAAATATTACTCTCCCAAATAATATAATACTTTGTTTAGTTCTCTCCATTAGTGTTCACATTATGACACTTTTATGATGACAAAACTTTGATCAGCATCAATGACTTCCACTCAGGTTTTCGCAACACAAGTAGTCAAATTTCAGCCTCATACAGCCCAGATGGGAGGTACGTGATAAGCCCGAGCGAAGATTCACAAGTGTATATATGGAGGAGAGAAGAGTCTAATAATAAGAGCGGAGCTGGTGGGAAAGGCAAAAGGCTCACCATCCATGCTCATGAGCATTTTCCATGTAAAGACGTTTCGGTGGCCATTCCATGGCCCGGCACCATGAGCTATGAACCACCAGTTGTGCAACTCCATTCCAAAAGGCATTCCAAGCGCTTCCTTCCACCGCCATCGCCACTCCAGTACCCATCCATTGGATCACCTAGCAACTGGGCCTTCATTGGTTCTCCTTCAAATGAAGATGAGGGATTGGTGAGCAAGAGGCATTTGCCTCCACTGCCCAAGAGAAATGACAACAATGTGTCTCATCATGAGAGTAACAACCATACTGACGCAGAGTTTTCTGGGATGGATGACCATTACTCTATCGGCTCGCCATCACCGTTTTGGTCCTCCAGGCTTGATGGCGGGGCCCACCACGACGGGAACACGACCATCCAAGCAATGGCGTGGGGGCTTGTAATCGTGACAGCAAGTTTGGGAGGCCAGATTAGGGTGTATCAAAATTTTGGATTGCCTGTGAAAGCCACTCGGCAGACTAATCTTTTTAGAGACCTCACATGAATGAAATGAGCATATGATCTGCAAGTTCCATATTTCCCCATTTCATTTCACCAGTAGAGGTAGCTCAAGACTAGTTGATAGATTGATCTTTAAGGCATGTTTGTGAATTTTCTTGATGATATTGTTTGTAAATTGTAAATCTTGATTAAGGGGAGTGTATTCAATTAGAAGTCTGTAAGATTTTTTTGGACTTTAAGAAGTCGGTGGATTTAGAAAATCCATTGACTCTATGCAGAGTTTGGAAGACTCTTTTATTGATTTACATGGAATTTTATATACTTGAAGAGATTTGTTTATTGATTTAGATGGATTTCATGTTTGTTCAACTTTATTGTTCATCCATATTGAATCAAGCACAAATAAAATAAGCACTATAGAATTCAAGCACTGCAACTTTTTTTAAACAAGTATGAACTCCAAACAAAGACATGAGGGGCCTGGGCAGTGGTGGACCAAACCGAGGCAGAAAAAGATAATCCCACTTCAGGCCTTGATTAAGCATCCCAAGTCGCTCCTAAACCCCCAAAAATTAGCCATCAAACGTGCTGGAAACGAGGCCAATTGCAATTTTGATGTTCGTCGATGAACAGTAAAACTCGTAGTTTGAAGTTGTAGATCTTCCAGAACAATGATAGGAAAGGAATGTTGATTGGGCAGGGACGTCGCTGGGGATTTCTCTGGGATTTCTTGTTTAATTTTGGGACTCTAGGTCTGCAATCGAGGGTGGGGATGACCGGAGAAGATGAAGAACCGTGCGAATTCTTTCTACGTTTCTTGATGATATTGTTTGTAAATTGTAAATCTTGATTAAATGTTTTATTGTGTAGTTAGTTCTTTTTCGCGTCTAATCTATGCTAGTCACTTGTGATTCTTGCCTCTAATATCTTAATATATGTGAACATATTATTCAATTCTGTCACACTTCCCAAAACAAATTAAATGCCACGTTATTTCAATAAATGGTGTTTCACGGGTCAATACCACTTTGCACCATCCAAGTGACAAATGATCAAAATGCACCTCTTCTTGTCAAAAATATCAAAAGTCTTTATTACAATTCTAAAATATTGATTTTTGAATTTTGAATTGCAAGAGGTGTGTGAAATTATATTTGAGCTTTGTTGAAAATTAGAGATTTTGTTTGAAACCTAAATCCACAATTTTTAGATTTTCTAATATGTATTTTAGGCCAAATTTGAAATCATAAACTAAGGGGGTGTATTCGATTAAGATTTTTAGAGATTTTTTTGAATTTTAAAAAGTCTACAGATTTAAAAGATTATAAACTTTATGTAGAGTTGGACAAACTTTTTTTATAAAGATTTTACAGATTTTTATGGACTTGACATGACTTTTTTTATTGATTTAAGTGGATTTCTAAACTCGCTTGCCCTGTCTCCAAGCACGGTTCCAGCCGGGAAACCACAAACTCGAATCTCCGAGATGGCAAAAGTATCAGAATTGAACAAAACCTTCAAAATCATTCCAAAGAAACCAAAAGTTAGAAATCTCCAAACCTTGTGATTGCGCTCCATGTAGAACGAAACTAGTTGCAGAATTTCATCCTCCAATTGTAGGCAGACTTTTGAAATAAGGATCTTCTAGATTATTCATCTTCTTATAATTCCTCTTTTTGCAAAAACAAACTGCGAGGGCAGAAGAAGAATTGAAACAGATTGGGCTGCGGTTGAAGCTTTTTCAACTACGAAGCTGCATAACAATCCAAGCAACGGATTTGGATTGGGCTACAGAATCTGTCCGTGTATCGATTTTGGATTTTAGATAAGAATCTAAGCAAAAGATTTTACACCCAAAAGTGGTAAAGATTTAAAAAATACTCCCTCCGTCCCGGAGTGTTTGTCCACTTTCATTTTTGCACACCATTCAATGCACTTCTTTAATCCATTTTATCTTGTAATTTGTATATTAAAAAATTATAAAAATTATATATTAATAATCTATATGTTAAGATGAATCAAACAAGATCACACATGACTATTTTTAGGCTTACACATTGAGAGAATTTGATAAGTCAAAGTGCTTAAATGAACAGTTCCAAAAGTCAAAAGTGGACAAACACTCAGGGACGGACCAACTGCATGAAAAGGGTTGAATAGCTTCAATCTAAAATCTTTAATACACGAGTATTGATCCAAAATCTGTTTGTGTACTCAAGCTCCAAAGTTTTTTAAAATCTGAAGTTGTTTTGGATTAAAGATGTCCATGTATTGTAGATCCTCTCTTCAAAAGTCTGTCCTTGTATTGAAGCTCTAAGCAAGGGTTTTTTAAAATCTTCCGTTGGAAGCATGGATTTTAGGAAAGCTTAAAATTCATGGATTATTGAATACCTAAAATTTTTTAAAGACTTTTTAAAATATTTATTGAATACCTCAAGATTTTTAATGATTTTTGAAAATCTAGATTGAATATCTCAAGATTTTTTAAAGCTTTTAAAAATCCATATAGAATTTCAGCTTTTAACAATCCAAAAAAATCCTACAAACTCCTAATTGAATACACCCTCCTAAATCTAAGTCTCAAACAAGCCACAAATTCATTTCTGGAAAACACTCCGTATTTTATTTATGTAAAAGTTATTAAAATCATTTTACACTCATGTGAGTGCTTATAAATAAATTCAACAAAATTCATCAAGTAAATTTCAAAAAATCATTTTGAAACAATTATTTGTTTTTCACTAACAAAAGTTGATTGAGGCCTCGTTTGACACCAACATTGGAGATTAGCGTTAGTGTTTGAAAAGACTATCCGACGGCAGCTTTTAGCGTTAGCAGTTTCAAAATTAATTTATACCATTAAAATTTTATCCAAAATGTTAACGTTAATCGAAAATACAATTCTCAAACAAGGCCTGAATTTGCAAATAAAAAATATTAACTTTTGGGGGTGCACTTTGATATTTATGACAAGTGAGGATGCACTTTAATCATTTACACTTTCTAGGGGTGCAAAGTGTTATT